AAATAACTTATTTTAAACCTTTTTTCTTTAAAAAGTTCATAAGGAGTTTTCTTTAAAATTGGCCTAATCATAGCTCTATTTATAATATAACAAGAAGTATTTATGGCTTTCGCTCAAAAATATCTGGGTAAATTATTTTCACAAAGCATGATTTTAACCATTTCTTCTAAAGTTCTATTTTTTCTTTCTACTATCCCATTTTGTTGAGGAGTTCTAGGAGCAAAAAAATTATGGCTAATACCATTTTCACTACAAAACACATTAAAGCCAAAATTTTCAAATTCTTTTCCATGATCACTTCTAGTACTAAAAATTGAATAGCCTTTTCATTTTGTATTTGCTTACTAAAAGTGATGAATTTTTCCAATGCTTCATTCTTTAAATGCAAAAAGAAAACCCATATGAATCGAGTAAAGTCATCAACAATAACAAATCCATATTATTTTCTACCAAGACCCATTATCCTAGTAGGACGAAAAAGATTAATATAAAGTAGTTGAAATACAATTCTTAGGTTTGAAAGATATCTTTCTATGTTTTCCTTAAGCACATGCATCACAAACTTTGTCATTTTCATATTTCAATTTTGGTAAACCAACAACTAAATCATTTTGAGAAAGTTTTGAAATTACATGCATACTTGTATGTCCAAGTCTTCTATGCCAAATCCAACTTTCATTTTCTTTTTGAGCTATAAAATAAACATTTTTAGAGGAAAGATCATCTAGATGCACCACATAAATGTTTCATTGATGATGTCCAACAAAAATAAGTTTGTCAGTTTTGATATCAATTACTTGACAGCACATGGATTCAAGCACAACTCTAAATTCTTTGTCACATAATTGACTAATACTAAGTAAGTTATGCTTGAGTCTTTTTACAAGTAAAACATTTTTAATAGTAGTAGAAGAATTATTACCAATGGAGCCAATCCCTTCAATTTGGCCTTTAAAATTGTCACCAAATGTAACATCTCCTCCACTTTTAGCTTTTAAGTCCTTAAAAAGAGTTTTGTCTTTGGTCATGTATTTTGAGCATCCACTATCAAGGTACCATGGATTGTTCTTACTTGAATTTGCTTTGTAGCAATACTCATCCACCTATAAAAACACAATTAAATTTTTATTTTGGGTACCCAAACTTTCTTGGGTCCTTGAATGTTAGTACTAACAATTTTTGTGCCTTTTGGAATCCACTTCATTTTAGTAATCTCATCTTGAGATGTGCTAACTCTTTTTGGAATCCACACTTTCCTAATTAACTTACCTCTATAAGTAATTTTCTTTAAAGAATAAAATTGTATAGAATGACCAAATTTATGATAACGTGCACATATGCTAGATGAATAATTTGGCTTAACAAAAAAATTCTTTAAATGAGTATCTTTGTTGCCACCATTATAGCTTAATCCATTTTTATCAAAGAATGCTCTTTGTGTTTCAAACATTTCATTGAGCTTTTGATTTCGCATATAAAATCTAGAAAATGAGTTATGCAAATTCTTATTTTTCTTAGTTAAATCATTGACATTCAACTTTAAGAGCTCAACTTTCTTTTCTAAGTCATCTTTTGCTTTAGTCAAAAGTTCATTTTTTAGTTTCAACTTAAAGATCATTTTTTTATATTTCATGTTCATGTTATCAAATTCTATGGCTAATTCATCATAAGCACCTTACAATTCATTAAATGTGTATGAATTTAAATCATATAGATTAGAAGTTAGTTTAGGCTTATTAAGAGCCATGAGACATAGATTGGCTATTTTCTCCTCATTTGATTCATCTTTGGAGAAGTCACTATCACTCCATGTTGCAACCATTGCTTTTTCTGTGGCTTTGTCATATTTTACTTTTTTCACAAAGGACAATCAAATTTAATATGACCCAATTTGTTGCATTCATAACAAATAATCTAATCCCTTTCTTTTCTACTTGATTTTTTTTTTAATCATTTCCCTTTGTGGTCTTTCTTCTACTTTAAGACTTATTCATCCTCATGAACTTTTTGAATTTCTTTGTAAACATGGTCATCTCTTCATCTTCATCATCCTCTTCTTGTCCAAGATTTTTTTTCATCTTTTTGAAAGGTTGATTTAAGAGCAATGCCACATTTTTTGATTGGTTCTTATCCCCTTTTGAACTTCATCTCATAAGCAAGGAGAGAACCTATTAGTTCATCTAAAAAGAATGTGAGGATCTTTGGACTCTTCAATAGCTGTCACTTTGGCTTTTTAGCTTTTTGGTAGACTATTAAAAATTTTTTTCACCATCTTCATATTTGAGTAAGTCTTCTTAAAAGCCTTTAAACCATTAATAATGTCAGTGAAACAATTTGACATTTCAATAATGGTTTCATCTAGTTTCATCTTGAATAACTCATAATCATGAGTGAACATGCCAATTTTTATCTCTTTCACTTGATTTGTACCTTCATGAGTGACAGCTAACTTATCTTAATTTTTTTTTTACATTTTCACACAAAGAAACTCTATTATACTCATTAGGCCTCAATGCACAAAAGAGTGTATGCATTGCTTTAGCATTGAGTTGATCCATTTTCAGATCATTGACATCTCATTTACTCTTTTACTTGATCACATCTTTACAATCCACCATCTTCATTGGAATTTGAGGATCATTTACAATGACCCTCCAAACTTCATAATCATTGGCTTGAATAAATAACCTCATCCTAATCTTTCAATAAGAATAGTTGTCACCAACAAAGAAATGAGGTCTTATAATTGAATGGCCTTTACTTCTAAGAGATGTTGCAATTGTTTCATTTGTCATGAGACATACCTCTTGTTGCCCCCTGTATTTGTTATAGCTTGAGGATGGTTGTTTCACATTGATCATTATATTTCTTTGAGCCATTTTTAGGATCACTCTTGGGTTGTTAGACTTACAAAAAATAGTACTAGCTCTGATACCAATTGCGAGCTCAAAGACTTGAAATAAACTAAGAGAGTGGGTAAATTGGTTAATAATAAAATTTTTAAAAATCAATACTTAATAAGCACAAATTCTATAAAATAATTTATCTAAGCAATTGAACACAATAAATGAGAGTAAACAAGAGATAGAGATAGAGAATTAGACACCAAGATTTATAGAGGTTCGATCTTTTCTTTAGGTACCTACGTCCTCTCCTTTAGCCTCACTTGCTAAGAAGTTCAATCCACTATTTATTAAAAAAATACAACTTAGCTCCTCAAAGCTTTACATAATCAACACCACAAACTCTTAAGGGTTATCCTCTTCCTTAAGCTCACAGTCTCGCAATACAAAGTTTCAGAAGTGTTTTACAAACTTAAAGAACCTCTCTAAGGTTGAGTGTTTGCTAACTTGAAGTATACAACAACATTGACAAGAGAATTTAGAGAAAAACTTATCTAAGAAGAATTTTTTGCACTTTTTTCTCTTTGAACTGGTTTGAATGCTTGAACAAGATGGTTAGTGAAGGCAATAAGTTGTTTTAGCTCTTGATTCTTTGAATCCGTAGTAAAAAGCTTCATTTATATATAAAAAAGAGTTGAGAGCTGCTACTTTGCATTTAATGCTTCAAACCTGTAAAAAATAGACAGAAAAATAGTCGTTAGGGGTTTTTGGACATCAGGAGATGATCCCTTTATGTAGGGGATCAATTGGGTCAGTTATAAGAAAGCCCAAATTCGTGCCTTAAAAAGCTTACCCGATCGATCGGTAGTGTAGCTGATTGATCCATTTCTTGAGTGATCGATCCTTTATATGGGGATTTGATCTTTTTTCTGGATAGCATTCTATGTAAAAAATAGATCAATCTTTTCAAGAAAGCAATCAATCCCATACCTAGGTGATCGATCCCCTGTATGGGGGGATCGATCCCTTTTGTGCATTTTCGAACCTAGATTACATTCTATAAAAAAAAGATCGATCACTTTAAGAGAATGATCGATCGGGTAAGCTTAAAAACTCCAACCAATCGATTTCTACAGGGAGGGGATCGATTGGTTCTTACCAAAATTTTACGAATTTAGCTTCTGGAAGAAAAATGAATCGATCCCTTTGGCTAGGAAATCGATCAGGGAAGGGAGAGGATCGATCCTTCCCTTAGGGGATCGATCCCTTCTATCCAAAATATGTCTTGACCCATTTTATTTTCAGAACTTGCTTTATTTTAGTTCCTAAATAAATTTTGACAAGATAGAAGGTTGAAAAAATGTTCAATTTAAGATTAGAAAAGTTTGATTCAAGTTAGGCAAATTTTTGTTTTATTAAATCAAGACTTTATTTTAGTTCCTAAATGAATTTTGACAAGATAGAAGGTTGAAAAAATGTTCAATTTAAGATTAAAAGAGTTTGATTCAAGTTAGACAAATTTTTGTTTTATCAAATCAAGACTTTTAATCAATTCAAAGCCAATAGTTAAGTTTACAAATCACTTTACCCTATTGATAAAAAAATTTCTTATATTTTGGATGAGAATTAGTGATCTAATCACTTTTGATAATTCAAGATTACTGTAAATAGGATTAACAAATGTTAAATCCAAAGTTTAATTTAGTTGATTCATGTTACCATTTAAAAAAAAAGTATTTAGCAAATTTGAAATTAAAATTTTAACACCTATAACCCATTTTCTTATTCTCAAGCTACGACCTTTTAATTAAAAAAAAATATTTACCTGTTTTAATTACTATATATAAATTATCATAATTTTTAAAATAATCATCTTATTCAAAAATACTATTTTAATATATATCTCTTAAAAGTTTCGTCAAATGATGTTAATGGGTGTTTAATTCAAAAATATAATCAATACTCTTTTATCTCAAAAGTTAAATGGACAATTAAACAAGATAAGATTTTAAGCAAGATGCAAGACAATTGGTACATGAATATTTTGTTGTATTTATGTATGTTTTTCCGGAAAAAAATGAAAATGCCAATAAAAATCAAGATTAACAAACAAAATATTAAAAAAAAAAGAAAAAAAAGAAAAAGGATGGATATAATATTAAAGGACCACAAGAGAGACAGTGTCCTGCACACTTCCTTCTCTTACCACCTTCACAAATTCTAACTGGAACTTGTTTTTTTTTCACACTTTTTCCATTGTTCGTACCATTTCTTCAATTCTTTCACATTTTCATCAGAAAAAGGAAAAAAAAAAAGAATAAATGCCTCTGCTCCTTTCCTCCTCTCCACCAATCCATTCCTTTCCCGCCACTCCAAAACTCCACTTCCGTTCAAAGCCTCCACCACCACGCACCATTGCACGCGCCACCCCGAGGCTCGAAGTTGATTCTTTCACGGAGAAATCAGGTTACCTTTTCGACCTCAGTGCCTTGGAGGCTGAGTCGTTAATCGATTACAGCCCGTCGAGAATCGCCGCTATTTATAGAAGAAAACCTCTGATTTTGTTGCGTCGGCTTATTCAAATTGGAACTACTTTTGGAAAATGGTTCGGAGTTGGATATATTGATAATCTCATGGAACGATCCGATCAAATGTTCAAGGTTACGACTTTTACTTACTCTTCAACTTTAAAGTAGACTCAAAATTGATGCTGAAATCGAATTTAGTTGACTCCGTTTTCTAACTATAATTATTCCACATGTGAGTGAAATTATGCATTTTTATTCACAAAAGTTAAAATTCTAATTTTTTTTATTATTCAAAAATATTATTTTCAACCAATGGAACCTTAAAGTTTTTAAGTTTTCATTTAATCTTGATTTTCCTGATCGTCTTTGCAATATACTCTTTTTGCTGAGTTGCAGGTTAGAGCTGCTGAGCTTCGCAACATTCTGGTGGAACTTGGGCCGGTATTTTATTTTCAAAATTGGGTTATTTGTACATTTATTCAATTGAGGAGTGTTTGCCTTGCATATTAAGCTTGGAAAGTTTTAAATTTCTTCGAGTTTCTCTATTAACTGGTTCTTTTTATGATCTAATCGGTCGTCTGTTTGACTGGTACTTATAGACCAGTGGCTACAGGGTTGTTCTGTATCATTAATTAGCTTCGTTCATGGAGACTAATAAAATTTAGAATTTTGTTCTACTCAATAATACTTCATTTTTGTAAATTTGTTTTTCTCAAATATCCAGTTCATCAGTACTTGAACAAGTTTAATGGTATAGCCTATTGAGTAAATTTGTAAAATATTTGTGGAAAAAAATTGCAGAAAAGGTTCACTACGTTTTAGAGAATGGGCATGTGTCTTTATTTTAATTTTCAGCTAATGAAATGACGTCAAGAAAAAAGGAAAAAAGGGGAGTGTCAACAGGAAGTAAAAGCTTTTCTACTTTAATTGTCTACTGAGAATCTTGAAAATCATGATATAGTTTCTTATAAAATGTGATTTAAACTTTACATTCATGTTTTACCCACAGGAGTAGTTTATGCAGCTATTGCATAAATGTGCAGATAAGTGTAGGTTTCTACTTATAACAATAAACAAGTCCCTGTTCGAAATGCTTTCACATCTGATGTTGTAGTTTTATATTTGTTTATTTGTAGAAGAAAAAAAGGTATAAAAGACACTGCTCCTTTAATTCTTTCTAGGCCTGTCTTGAATCTATCTTGGAAAAGTTGTCTGTAAAAATGTTATTTGCTTGCAGAGAATTTTATGGGGCTTTCTGCCATACTGTCTTTTTAATGTGTATTTTCTTTGTACTAGTACAAAAACCATTGCAAACCCTTGTACTTGGATCTAAATTACTAATCACTTTGAATTACCTGTGATTTTGTTTATGTTCTGATTTTAGTTAAATAGTTTTCTTTGTTTCTGCTTTATAGGCCTACATCAAAATTGCTCAAGCTGTTTCATCTCGACCTGTAAGTTTTCATATCATTTAGGCAATAAGTTTCACATGCTACATCAATTTTGTCTTGCTTTCCATTCTTCCTTTAAACTTATGATGCATACTGGTACTACATATGCTTCTTTAGTTTATGATACTTGATTTTAGCCTGAGCCTTCTTGTTATTATATGCTTCCAAACTGTAGGAAAGGGCTTTTCTACTATAATGATTTTATATGATGCTCAGATGCATTCTTAATTATTGATAAACTTCATTCTTTTGGGTTTTTGAATGTCCTGTGAACATTACAGAAACTAAAGTGTTGTTCAGTAGTCATATGCTTTCTAAGGCCAAAAAATAGCTTAAAAACTTTATATTAAGCTGTTTAACTTGATTTTACTAGCAATTTCTATAGTGGGACGATCGGTCTTCCATATTGTCCTAGTGCTTTTTCCTTTATGTTTACAGCTAAGAGATAAGATTTTTTTACTATATATATATATATATATATAATTTAAGTGAAGATTGAAAATGAAAGCAGTAACTTGATTATTGTATCCTTCTTCGCAAACTAAATTTGGTTAATAAAAATTTTATATTCCTGGGCTTGGTGCCTTCAGGGGCAAAATTACAGGGTCTTAGGATTGGCGAGCAGCTGATGTTTCTATTTGGTTAATTCATAACTTGTATTTCAAAGGAATCTTCTTTTCATGAAGTTAAAGAAAACTTTAATACACCAATACAGATATCAAGGCATAAATTTCTAAACAGTGAAATAGAAAAAAGAGGGTTGATTGGATCAATCCGCTTACCGTGTTTACTTGAAAATAGCCTCTGCAATGGTGCAAACAATGGAACCCAGTAGAATGTGATGCACTTGATAAACTTCATCTGAGATCATCATTTGTTGATAACAAGTCACCGAAAACTAAATTCTAATAGCAAAATTTGATATCTGATTATATGGAATTTTATCTTCCATCTCCTCTAATATTTTAAGTATCACTTAGTATGATGATGGTTTTATCATTGTCTGCACCCTTGATTCTGCAAATATTGTCACATTTACTTTCCTCAAACATCTTCTTTTGCTTTAAGTGTGGCCTCTTGTAGAATAAGTAGCAGCTCTTGTAGGGTAAATTGATGGATTGGTAGATTAACATGGGACTGTTTTCTTATAGTAATATGTTTGATCACCATTTTGTACTTTCTAGCTCTGCTTTTTCTTCATCTTCTTGTTTGTGTCACCCTCATTTTAGGTATTTCTAAGCTAGAGCGCTAGGCTAATGAATAAGACTTCCTAAAGCTTGTGACCTTGGCCATTCCAAGCAAAGGTCATTCTACAATCTACGGAAACACCAAACTTCCAGAATCTGTTGTGCCGGTATCTGGCTGAGGCGTTATGCTTGAAAAGTAGACTGCAATTGTTGTAGCTATATTTGTGAGATCTGACTGAGCTAGCACTCATCTATGAACCTTTTCAAGCTTTTCCTGCAACCTTCTGAAGCTAACTGCATGCTTCATCTGGGGCTTTCTTAATGCTCTAACTGCTTTTTGCATCATGTATTATTTATGTGCTGTGTTCATTTTCAATATGAGAACCTTATAAGATACATTTTTTGCAGGATTTGGTACCACCATCATATTTAGATGAACTCTCATTGTTGCAAGACCGAATAACTCCGTTTTCTACTGAAGTTGCTCTTGATACTATAGAGAAAGAACTTGGTTTACAGATAGATGAGCTTTTCTCTGAGATTTCACCAGAGCCAGTTGCTGCAGCATCCCTTGGACAGGTTTGTATCTGGTTATATTCTTATCCTACCTCTTTGTTTTGTAATTTCTTTCTTTCAGAGGGTGTTTTGAAATATATCTTAGAAAACCAAACTCAGTGCTCTCTCTCAAGTAGGTATATCAAGCTAGGCTACGTCGTAGTGGACGGGTTGTTGCTGTCAAAGTGCAAAGGCCTGGAGTCCAAGCTGCAATTTCCTTAGACATATTGATCTTGCGCTTTCTAGCAGGGGTGGTTAAGAAAGCTGGTAAATTTAATACTGATCTTCAGGTAATTTTGGAATATATTACTGGCTGTGTATTGCTCTGCAGTAAGCTGTTGAGTAGATTCTATTTCCTGGCAAATGTGGTTTTGAATTCAGCCTATGTAGTTTACTATGGATTTCTGCTTATTATTCATTAGCTGGTATTAACCAAGAAATCTGTCCTGTATTCAGGCAGTCGTTGATGAGTGGGCATCAAGTCTTTTTCGGGTATGTATTAATTTCTTTCTCCTTAAGTGTGCTTTAACTCTACTGTCTAGTTATTGCACGCAGCTTCTAACCTTCTTTTGCAAAATATCTTTGTAGTTATGGCCTATAATGCGAGGGTTTAGATCTTCCTTTGAATAGGGACCTGTTAAAATCTTAGATCATTAGATGCCTAAGTGTTGTCAATATGTGTTCATTCTTTAAAGCATGAGCTTTCTTCAATGATTGGAATCAAAGCTGTCAAAGTTGTTTGAAAGGGTGGCTCAAACGGTTTTCTTTTATAAATGCAGCTTCAGGAGAGCAACTATACTGCTTGAAATTCCTCTCAACTTATTTACTCATATCCTTAGGAGAGGAAGAAACAAATACAAGGAATATCTATAGTAGTTGTTGGGACCATATATCTCATGAATAAAGTTGTAGGAACCAAGGACTTGATCACTATAGAATTATAAAAGCTTCATCAACTTAAAAGTCAATGGATAAATGGATGTTAAATTTGTGCAATTTTCACCTTCTAAAGACTCCATTTTATTTCATGATTTTCCTTCTCGATGAACCTAAATGATATCATGTAATGGATCTAAAAGCTATGAGAAATATATTAGAACAAATGAAAATTTGTGCTATCCTACATTGGTTATTTTGGGGTTGGTTGTGACCTTTTATTCAAATTGGGCCTTTTCTTCTATTATAATGCTATCAATTGGTTTAAGGTTGGAGGCCTTGTCATGTTATTGGAGCCAACATTTTTCATCGATCCATTTTTGTCGCCATTTCTCTTACTTGTTCGTTGGGCTTCCCTGTGAGGATCGTTTTTAAGTTGTGTTATCATCCCAGAGTTTTAATTTGGGTTTATTGTGACCTTATATCTATGTTCCCCCCCCCCCCCCCAATCTATTATCAGTTGGTTTAATTTGGATGTTTTGACGAATAAAACTTCAAAGGGTTTTGCAATTTTCTAGTAGTGCCTTTCGGAGTGGTCAAAATATGTTTGCTATTGTCATTCTTCAGAGGTTAGGTTTTTCTTGGTATGATAGAAGAGTGGGAGGATGGAAATGAGATGGTGAAAAGGTGGAAAGAAATAATGTTTTGTATGAGAGAAAAAGGAGAGAAAAGAAAATAGGAAAGATGACCATTTTCCACCCTTATTTACAAAAACAAATCATTCCAAATTGGAAAGATAGGAGGGGAGAAAAAGGGGGAGGTGTGAGTCAAGTGTTGCATATTTACAAGATTGTCTATCGGTGTTTAGATTTTACCTTTTTGTCCTAGCTTATGGAGCATATAAGGGTAAATAATATTAATTTTCATTTCCTTTCCTTTCTTTTTCAACTCTACCAAGCATTGGATGGAAAGAACATTAGTTTTTCACTCTACTTTTTCATCTTTCCTACCAAGCACAACAATGGAAAGAAAACGATATATGTTTTCCATCTTTCCATTTTTCTGTTTATCCTACCAAACAAAGCCTTAATGTAGAACCAAACATAAATATCTTACATTGAAGTCATCTGTATAATAGTTAATTGTATATGAGATAACTTCTCTTCTATTTGAAACTGCTCAGTCAAATATTTGTAGTTCAACTTCTGAAATCTTCTCATAGTGAATGTTAAGAAGTAGCATGAACAAAATATTTGTTACCTCTTTTACTTCGAGGAACATTCTTTTATTTTCGTTCTTTATTGCATTCTTCATATTTTAGGGATTACCATTTTCTCTATAAAATTTACTTATTACTAAACTGTCTTTGTGGTAAACATGCATTTATTTTATCATCATAAAATGTGAATATCTACTCAACTCAACTAAGCTTTTATCCCAAACTAGTTGAGATAACTTTTGCTTCTCTGATGAATATGCTTAGAACTTCATATTGAATACAGGTGAATCACATTGAATGCAGGAGATGGACTATAGGAAAGAAGCAAATAATGGACTCAAGTTTAGGTAAGAGCATCATTAAAGGTACCCCATGACATCAAAATTTTAATGGCTAAATTGTATGACAATTTATCTCCTTGTTCTGCTTTGTTGTCTGCTTTCTTAGTTGACTTTGCTAAACAAGGTTGGATTAGTGTCAATTGAACTTTGATTGGAGTAATTTGTATAATTATATTAGTCACTTGGATATCGTTTATCGGCTTAAGTTACCTTTATATCAATAGAATGCAGACCTATGGTCCTTTTTGTTTAGTCAACTGCTCCCTCTACCTCTTTTTCTATATTTATTTGGGGACTGAAAACCTGAGTCCCTACAAGGACAGAATAGGTCAGGTAAAAATCATTAGCCTGCGAGTAACATAGCTTGTGGTACTTGATCTACATAAGTCATTACTTTTATCCAGCTGGAAGATCCAAATTTGTAAGATGGTGGTTTATATGAATGACCAATTAGTATCTCATCTACCTCAACATGTGGAGCTTAATTCCTAGCTGTGACACTTTCCAGTTTTTTAGTTCTTCTTTGATCCCACCTTCTCCCTCTGCCTCTGTCCCTCATGCTCACACACATACCGGCGTTATAGTTGTATATGGATTTAATAGGTTTTCTAATAAAACATGCCTTGCTTTGGTTCTGACTTCTCAGCAATCTGCAATCATTTTTCACCTCAGCATGTGTGTGTACATTGTCTTGAATCCTTCAGTATGCAATCCAATGGCTTCATACTGCTCCCACCTTGTAAAATTTTTCTTGGAAAACCATATATTTAATGGACTCAGTCATTTCCTCATATGGGTATGCCTAGTTGCATTAATACTTTCTTTCCTCCAGGCATACTTCTCACCTACTGATTTGAAGTTTGTAGTTCACTTGAAGCTGATAGACAACGGGAGATTCTTGTAATATTCTTGAAGAAATTATGTCATAGTTCAAAAAAAAAAATTCTACCTAGTTATTTATTTCTCATGAGTTGTTAGTTCTTTTTACTTTGAAAGTTTGAAGTTCTCAATGTATGTCTTTCATCTTCTTGTCAAGAATGTTACTCTTCAATCTGTTTATTTCTCATTACTTCATATCCATATTTTGCTTACCCTTTATTTTTTTCTTTATTAAGGTGTCTCTAAAGCTCTAATCATTATCCGCTGTTTGCTTAAACAGACGTCTATACAGTGGCATTAAAGATGTTTTTATTCCAAACATGTATTTGGAGCACACAACTCGTAGGGTCCTTGTTATGGAATGGGTGGAGGTATTTTCTATGTAGTTTTTTTTTTTTTTTTTTTCTCTCTAAAGAGGTAAGAATTACAAACTGATTCTTGAAAGGAGCGCTTTGAATGGTTCCTTTGCTTCATAAACAGTATCTCATTTCCTTGGCATTTGTGAAACAAAAATTATTTGCAATTCCAGTAGACATTGCCATTGTTTTTTTTTTCTTTTTTGCCTTTTTTTCCATTCAACATGAACAGGGACGAGGATTTTCCACTGAATTTTTAGCATTCTACATTTTTTTTGGTTAGTTTTTATGGAGAATTTAGAGCTGGTCTATATTAAGATTTACAACTTGTGACAGATATTTCTTCTAGATCAAATCATTAAGAAATGTCTATTCATTCTTCTCATAACTTATTGAAATGCACAAAAATCTCTTTATTTTTTTTTTTTTCTGTTTTTGGAATGGCAAAACAAAGATTGCTCATAAGACCACATTGGCTGTGTATGACCCGCATCCATTCCTTCTTCCTCCTATGAGCAACTGCAGCATACTTCAAACTAAATTTCATTGTTTCTGGATTATGAAGTAACATGGTATGCCTCATTAAAAAGGGACCAGAAAAGTCATTCTTTCTTAAAGGTCCTAGTATATTTTTTGTATATGTACTTGATGTTTTGCTGATTTTTAACTTTTATGTTTTTCTAGGGACAAAAGTTGTCTGAAGTGAAGGATCTTTACCTGGTTGAGGTCATTGTTAAAGCTATTATTTTGTTATTTAACAATTAATCTGCATTACCTCTATCATTTGGCTTGGTGGCTTAATGACTGTCTAGATGTCTGTTTCCTGGTGCTGCTTAGGTAGGAGTTTACTGCTCATTCAATCAGCTTTTAGAGAATGGGTTCTATCATGCCGATCCTCACCCAGGAAACCTTTTTCGCACGTATGATGGGAAACTTGCCTATATAGGTATTGCTCTTGAATGTGAATAATTTTGCACGTACTCAAAGGCATTGTACTGTTGATTATTTAGACTTAAATTAAGGTTTCCCTTTTTCGTTTTCTTATTTGTGCTTGACATTGTGTTAACATTTTTCCTTTTTGTTATTATTATTTTAAATTTGCTGATTCTAAATTTAGGCTGGTTTTGTCCTATAATTATCATTTCATTCTCCTTTGTAAATACTTTTCTCTTTGTAAGTCTCCTGATAATGAGTATCTGCCAATAGAAATATATATGGGGAACTGTTGAAGGTTGATGGTTTGTTGTGGTGACTGTTCTCCACCACCATTTAATTATAATTTAAAATTAATTTATTTCATATGTTTTTCATTAAAAGGGTAATCCACAAATGATCTGTCTAATTGATGTTATTAATCCCCTTGCTACGTTTAATTGTCTAAGGTATTAGTTCTTTGCGTTTTTTCTTTTTCTTTTTCTTTGGATTTGCCTCTTGCTTGTAGTTTTTCCCCATTTAGCTAGCAACTGAACAATTATTGTTTATTAATAATAGGTATAAAAGTGAAGAACTAACCTTTAATATCTTTCATGACCAGATTTTGGCATGATGGGTGAATTTAAACAAGAATTCAGAGACGGATTTATTGAAGCTTGTCTCCATCTTGTAAACCGTGATTTTGATGCACTGTCAAAGGACTTTGTCACCCTTGGGTATTACAATTTCCTCCAATAATAATTGAAAAAATTATTTATGATGATGCAATATTTTAAAGGATGGATTAATTGTTAACTTATGGTACTCATCTAAACGAATTTGTTAACTAGCAGGCTTCTTCCACCAACTGCGGAAAAGGAGGCCGTTACAAAAGCTTTAACAGGTTTCCTCTTTACATCTACCTGAGCCTGGGGCTCCCTAGTTTTTTACTATTAGAAGTTGGTTGCCTTCCTGGTAACAATATAATTAACTAATTAGTAATGATTGCCTCTTCTGGATCATCTGTCTTAAGGTGTCTTCCAAAATGCGGTTGCCAAGGGAGTCCGGAATATAAGCTTTGGAGACCTCTTAGGAAATTTGGGAACTACCATGTAAGGAGTTTGTGTTTCAACTTTATAGCTTATGCATTTAAATTATGTTGATGCACTATGCTCCAATGTTTTTCCCTTGGTTTTGGGGTAGTTAGTATATGTCCATAAATGTGTGTAAATCTTTGTTTCTCTGCTCTCTACGATGCTCAAAAGCTCAGAATTTTATTTTTCAAGTCATGTATGGCAAAGAACCATTGTTTGAAGCAAATGGGAATATGTTGAAGCAATGAGTACCAAAACTAGAGATGTCTATAGGATTACGGAAAAGTAAATAGAAAGGAAAGGTACCCACAAAAGACACATATTCTCATAGTGAAGAGAGCTCACTTAGAAGACCATCATTTTAGCATTATAACATGGTCAGTTCTGAATTGAAATAGATGTAATTCAAATTAAATTAAAAATAAGGTGAAATGTTGATTCTTTAATTCAGGAAACATTTAGTTTTAACATAAAAGGATTTGAAGGCACATCTGTAGGTATAATATAGATTGTTAAGCTTTCTTAAAGAATTTTAGCCACCAAAAACTGCCAAATTTCAGTATTAGTTGTGTACTGAAGATCTGAAGACTTTAAAAGAGTTCAGAGCTTGTCCATTTTGCTCATGCCTCGTCTTTTGAACAGCACAGACTTGCATGACAAAAACACCATAAATGCTCATCTCTCATGTTACTCAGAGTTGGGGGTGACTGTTGTATATGGGTGTGTATTTAACATGGGTATGCTCAATTTTTTCCAAGTTTTTCCTTATATTTGGAGAATTGGGCCTCCATACTTCTGTCTATCACATATGTGTCAGACAGGTATCTCAAGGAAAATGAAAAACTGCTGCAACATAGCTTGCCTCTCTTTCATAGTTCTCCCTTGTTATTTCCTGCATCAACAGATAATTATAACAAACTATTTTTAGTGCGGTTTAAAATCTTTGGATAATAGAGCAGAAATAAAGGATTCTCTTTTTCTTTTAATTGGAAAAACAAAGGCTTACTTGGGTAGAGGAAGTAGGAAAGGTAGATGAGGGTGGGCAGATTACTCATTTCAGTAAGTTTGTCTATGAGTAAATGTTATATGATCTTCTTCGGGTGGAACTTAAGTTATTCTTGAAGCTAGTCCTAATATTGATGATTTAATTTTTTTGCAGGTACAAGTTCAAATTTCGCATACCTTCATATTTTTCTCTTGTTATTCGTAGGTAATTGTTTTCCTAGGAGATTTGATGTGCCCTCTATACAGTTTCATGCTGTCTGTTCAGAAGTTTAGAATCTTCTGTATAGCCTTTTTTTGTGCCTATTTATTGATATTACTTATCTTTCCCTAGTCTTGCTGTACTGGAGGGAATTGCAATAAGTTCTGACCCAAACTACAAAGTTTTGGGTAGTACATATCCGTGGATTGCTAAAAAAGTATTGACTGACGGTTCACCTCAACTGAAATCTTCTTTGCAAGCTCTTCTCTATAAGGTCCATCTATGCTGATCTTGGTTTTTTTTATTTAAATGTTACCATCCTCTATTTTGTAATTTTACATCATGGACATAGCATGTACAATTTCTGATTATTAGCTTATAATCTGTCAGGATGGTGTTTTCAGAATTGATCGTTTGGAATCTCTATTGACAGAGGTGAGATTTTCTATCTTTTCTTGCTTATTCCCCACACATCCCCTTTCTTTCTTCTTTCTCTCTTTACCACACAGGTTACAAAATATGGCCTCCAGTTGTATATGCAGAAAAAACCTGACGCATTTCCAGTTTATCTTTGGGCCAGTTGTTTTTCTTTTTCTTTTGTCTTTTTTCTTATTCCTACAAAACAACTGCTATTGAGTTCTGAGCTTTTAGACAGTCCCTGAAAGTTGAAAGAACTACTTGTCATTACCTCTCTAAACATCAGTTGTATATCTGCTGTATCCACACCCTTCATTTAGATCAGGGGCATCTTTCAAACAATTACTCCTTTTCTTCCCGCGCACTAGTCATCTCCTTCGGTGATGGTGAGCAATATCATTGGGCATGTCCTCCTAATAACAATTTCCAATCTATTTCTTTTCATTTTTTTCTTTTATGTATATTCCAGCATCATTCTCAGTTTATTCAAGTCTTTAAATGATTCCTATGGCAGTCCCTTCGTGCTCGAACTGAGAAGGCCTTGGTTAAGACGCAAAGAGAAGCAAATTCCAGGGTGGTTTTTAAGGAAATCCTTTCTTTCACCTTAACAGAAAAGGTGTCAGGACGTTTCATCTCTATCTTTATGTATATTTTTTAATGACCCTAGTGAAATTTATATTTTTCCTTTTCTTCGGCAGGGCACCCTTGTCAGGGAAATACTTATTGAAGAGCTCGCTAAGGTATGGTTTGGGGCCTATGTCTCATACATGCACCTATAAATTACTAATAGAAGAGGTAGTTGAAAATGAGATGCCAAGTACATTAAGGGTGTGTTTAGATGAGGTATTTGGAGAAGGGATTTCATTTCAATTAAAGTTTTCAAAAGTTCAAAAACAAATTTACTTATTTGAGTAAAAATAAGATAGAATTTCAAGAGGGAATTTGAGGTCCTCTTGAAATTCCACCTAAATAGGTGATTTTTAAAATTTTTCTAAATCCTTTCACTTTTGTGCACATGACCCACCATACAATACAATACTCAAAAAAATAAATATTATTTTATTTAACTTTAATATATATTTTTAGTTTTTTATACTATTAATAGTATCTATATATTTTTATAAATCTAATGATACCGATATTGCATATTTTATTTTGCATGTATATTTTTTATCTTTAATATCATTATTGTTTTTTTTATAATTTATTTTATCTCATCAAATTCTAATTGACTAATTTTTTTCAAAAATATTTATCCAAACAAAATAATTACAAATGATAGTATTTTGAAATGATGCATTTTAAAATGTCTTAATTTTGAATTTATTCAAAACTTTAAAAGTTTTCATCCAAATGCAGCTTTGCTTGGTATGGTGGATAAAAGGATGGAAAATTGAAAGAGGAAAAAAAATGGAAAGATAGAAAATTTTTTTTTTTTGTTTCATTGGTGTGTTTGGTTAGAAAGATGAAAAAGTTGAGAGAAAATATAATTTTCTTTTCATCCATTGCTTTGTAGAGTTAAAAAATAAAAAGAAAGAAAATGAAAATTATATGATTTTACCATTATAATTTTTTTAAATTAAGATAAAAAGAAAAAAATCTAAACATAATGGATAATCTTGTAAATATGCAATAGTTATTCACACCTCTCATTTTCTATATTTTCTTTCTAATTTGGAATTATTTGTATCTGTGAATTAGTGTCAAAAATGGTAATCTTCTAGACTTGTTAATTAGGCAAGTTGGATTTGGATCGGGTCAATTCAGTTCGAGTCATTTTGGGTTATAAAAAAATCGAGTCAATTTTCGATTAGGTCATTTTGGTTTTAGGTTGTTTTAGGTTTTGAGTCATTTTGGATTTGGATCATTACTGGTTTGGACCAATTCGAGTTTCGGTTATTTTGAGTTTGGCAGTTAGGTTATTTCAATTGGGTCATTTTGGATTTAATTTATTAATTTTTAAAATCAAATTAGATTAAATTTAAACAGATTATTTGATTTTTTATTATAATTTTGTTGAAAGATAAAAAGCAAAAAATAATATTTTAAAAATAAATATAAATAACATAGTTTGTATACTTTAAATGAAAGTTAATTTTTATACAAATGAAAAAGTGTGATTTATTAAACTTGATAAATTTAAATACAACACAATGACATAACACAAAATAATGTGAGAAAAATCGTATGAGCTTTAGTAATTATGTTTCGTATTTATCTATGTCGATATAAACTTTGACACATGTAAGACAATATTTTTAATTAAATTGTGCCATACTTATAAGATAGGTGAAATATGTTTATCACGATTAATAATATTTTTATATTTATTTTAATCTAATATAAATATGTAAAGATTGTTTTAAATTTTTAATTATGAGACACAATTATATATTTAATATAATTATATAAAAATTATTTTAAATATTTAATTATGATGCATATTTAAAATGTAATTATTTTTTATATTAATAATATAATTATAATATAAATAATCATTTTAATATAATTTTAGCTCATTATTTAATAGGTTATTATTTTAGATTTTAATATAGTTATAGGTCATGTTTGGTACACAATATTATGATAAGATAAGATAAGATAATATTATAAATAGGATTAGATTATATAATATCATCTTATTTTGTTTTGATATATGCAAAGATTAAATTAAGATAATTTATTTATTTATCAAAATTATCTTTCCTTAAAGTTTATATAATTTAAATTATTATATAATTTTTAAGGGTATAATTGGACATATAAGTTTAATCTTATGGATTAAAAATAATTTTCTTCATTTGGGGAGAATTGAATAATCTTATGTTAAGAGGATATTAATCTTCCTTGTAATCCCTATCCCTTTTTTTATATACAAATCAAATATGATATAGGATAATTATGATTCTATCCTATTAATAATCTTATACATCAAATATGATCATAGCTTATTATATAATTTATTCTAAATTATATAATTAAAAATTAATAATATAATTATAACATAAACATAATGTGCAAAAACAAATAAATAACTTGTTTTATACTTTATTTTAAATAATACGATAGTTGATACTTATGTATAATTATAAGAGATTATATAATTTATTCTTAATGATACATTGATATGTATACCCATAATAATTAAAAATATATAATTTATTTTAAATCATATTATAAATTATAAGAAATTTTATAAGTAACATAACATGTATAATTTATATTTATTATTTTTATTAATGTTTTTTAAATAAAATTACCCTTAATTCAATTTCAGATTATTTCAGATTAATGTTTTGGATCATTTTAAATTTGGATCAATTCAGGTTCAGGCTGATTTAGGTTCGGGTTGTTTTTACTTTCGAGTTGTGCGGGTTTAGATTGTTGACTTTTTATGATCAAATTTGGTTGGATCAGTTCTGGTTTGAGTGAATTGGGCAGGTTTTGAGTTTGGGTCAGAATTGAGAGGTCTAAAGCTTACCTACTTTCTTTCCTCGCACTTTTCTTTCCTACCAAGTATACTCAAAATTTTTTTTTCACTTTTCCAGCCACTTCTTATCCATCTTTTCACTCTTTCACTCTACCAAGCAAACCCTGAATAAAGGTGATCTGCCTAAATATTTCTCGAAAGTTCTATCCAACTGTCTGCACTAAAACCTTATGAGCTATATAATCCACAATCATGATCGACATCTAGTAGCCATACTAGTGTCATGAATTTCCTTGATAATATCAACTGACTGTCATGCTTGCATTTGGTCTAAAGTTGCTTTCTGAAAATTGGTACAGGGTTTGGATGCACTTGGTTTGGCAACTCTTGATTCATTGACTTCTGCAGCTACAACACGCATACCCTTTACTGGTTCCTTCTCATTCTCTTTGATGACCAAGGAAGACATGATCAACTTAAGAACATTGCGTCGCCTCATGTTTTTGTTGGCTGGTCTTGAAAGCAATGAAAAGCCCTTTAAGGTGAGTGTCTAAGCACTTGGCATTTCATGTTAGAATATTTTGAACTGTTGACAAATGACGGAATAAATGAAGGAAGAGGGCAAGTTTACTTGTCTTTGATGCAAGTAACTTGTATTTGATTAAATGAACATGTCATGGCCTCGTAACTATTCTATATTAAAGGGTGGTGGAGCAACATGAGAAGACAATTAAAGGATGCTTGAGATATGGAATTTTTTGTGAAATTCTTAGGTCATATTTAAAATGTGTTCAACAAATGAATAAGCTTGCAAGGCTGACAACATTATAAAATGCTGAACTCAGATAAGTAAATAAAATCTCAGATGGAAAATCATATTGCATCATTATGGTCTATTGAAAACAGTATAAAGTAAAAATATGATTCTTGTATACTTTCATTCTGTCTTGTATGGTTCTCTTTCTCTTGACATGGATATCGCCTCTACACCATTTTAACTCTGCATACTGCTGTCAGAATCCAGCTCTGAATCCCAACTTCTAGCTATTCCTTTTTTAAAGATTGCTGTTAAATCAAGAACACATGGAATCTTAAACCCCAGTTCTACTTTCTATTAGCACCACAAGTCATAGAACCCCAATTGTCTCCTAACTTGTACAACTGCAATAGGTTGAAAAAGATTACTTGATGCATCCCAATTCACACATTGTTCTATTTTGAAGGATCGCTTAAGAGATTTGTTACTGTGGAAAAACTAAGAAATAGAACTGTGTGGCAAACTAAGAGTAAAACTAAATGTATATTGCAAAACTGCTCATAAAGAATTATACCATCTCCTTAGGTTTATATACAACTAACTAGTGGGTAAACTAGGAAACTAAATCTTCCTCAAACTGATCCTATAATAGAAGGATTGTCTATCCTAATTTTTTGTCTTTAATTCTAGGAATACAAATACTTAATTCTAGAGATACAAATATAAATATACAGATTACAAGAATACAACCAATTATAAATAAGTGTTTTCCCACACTCCCCCTCAAGCTGGTGAGTAGGTGTTTTTCATTTCCAGCTTGAAAATAATTTCTTGAAATGTTGCACTGCTAAGACCTTTAGTTATCACATCTGCAAGTTGACCCTTGGTTTATACATATGGTGTACAAATCAACACACTATCTAGTTTTTCCTTTATGAAATGCCGGTCTACTTCAGTGTGTTTTATTCTATCATGTTGCACAGGATTGTGTGCAATGCTTATTGCAGATTCGTTATCACAATAGAGTCTTATTGGTCCATCCCGCTTGATCTTCAAGTGTTCTAGGATAATCTTTAATCATGGTAGTTCACAAATTCCTTAAGTCATTGCTCTAAACTCTGCTTAAGCACTTGATCTTCTATAAGTTACTGAACTTACATAATCAGCATCTGTATATGCCTTTAGAACCAGTCCTGAATTTCTTTTGAATAAAATACCTTTCTCAGGATTGGCCTTCAAATAGTGCAATACACGATAGACAGCCTTTTAGTGCACTTCTTTAGGACTATGCATAAATTGACTTATCACATTCACAGCATATGCTGTATCAGGTCCAGTATGTGAGAGATAAGTGAGTCTTCCAACTAATCTTTGATACTCTCTATATATAGCAGCATCTTCATTAGCTTTTTCAAGTTTATGATTAGGATCTATAGGGGTATTTGCAGGTTTACATGCGAGCTTTTCAGTTTCCTTTAGAAGATTCAACACATATTTCTGTTGTGAGATGAAAATACTATGTCATGAGTGAGTTTCTTCAATTCCTAGAAAGTACTTCAATTTCTCTAATTCTTTTATCTCAAATTCTTTAGCCAAACATTGTTTTAGAGATTCTCTCTCTTTTTCATCATCTCCAATTACAATTATATAATCAACATACACTAATAGAACTATGATTTTCCCTAAATCAGAGTGCCTGGTAAACAATACGTGATCTCCTTGACTCTGTTTATATCCCATTGCTAGTATCACTTTGGCAAATCTCTCGAACCAAGCCCTATGAGATTGTTTAAGGCCATATAAAGCCTTTTTCAGCTTGCATACTTTGTTTGCTTCTAGATGACCTCCAAATCCCAATGGAACCTTCATATATATTTCTTCTTCCAAATCACCATATAGAAAAGCATTTTTTACATCAAATTATTGAAGCTGCCAATTGTAATTTACATCAATGATAACAAAATCCTAACTGTATTTATCTTGGCAACTGGAGCAAAAGTTTCCTGATAATCCATTCCAAAGTTTGAGTGTAACCCTTAGCCACCAACCTGGCTTTATACCTTTCAACAATACCATCAACCTTGTATTTTATAGTGAAAACCCATTTACGCCCAACTAGATTTTTTCCTTTAGGCAACTCCACTAGTTCCCATGTCTTATTTTTCTCTAAGGCCTTCATTTCTATTTTCATAGCTTGCCTCCATTTCTCACTAGATAATGCCTCGGATAATGTAGTTGGAACAAAAATAGTGTTTACGCTCATAAGAAAATTTTTGTGGGATAGTGAGAATTTTTTAAATGACACAAAATTAGAGATTGGGAATAGTGGATGCTTAGTACATTCTCTAGTTTTTTTCCTAATGGCAATAGATTGATCATAATCACCAGTTATAGTTTTAGGAGATTCATGCTCATTTTGAGAAACAGAGTCAAAAACTGCAGTTACCTCATTTTTAGAGTTAGGATCAGGTTCTTGGACTTGCACTGGTTCAGGATTTTGAACTTTCTTTCTTGAGTACACCTGTAATTCCTTCATAGAATCAAGAACAATATTATCCTTTGTCACATCTTCTGTGTTTGGAATGGGTTTAGAGTTAAATTTAGTGTTTGACTTGGACTTAGAAAAAACAAGTTTCGACTCAGAAGAATTAATAGGTGAAAATGTTGAAAAGGAGGACAAATCTAGCAAAAGAAGTCTTTATCCTTATCTTCCATGAATGAAGTCTTCCCCTGAAGATAAGGTTGAGTAAAAAATGGTTTACTTTTCTTTAAAAGTGACATCTACAGACACATAATTTTTTGGTATGAGGATGATAGCACTTATATCCTTTTTGAGTTGATGAATATCCCACAAAAATGCATTTAATTGCTCTAGGATCCAACTCCCCCCTATTGTGACTATGAACATGAACAAATGATGTACAACCAAATATCCTAAGTGTGAAGTTGTTTGTAGTATTAAAGTTGGTATAGAATTGTGAGGGTAGTTCCATAGAGTTTTAAATCCCAAAACCCTTGAAGGTAACTTATTTATAATATGTGGGGTTATAAGAACAGCTTCTTCCAATAGAATTTGGGTACATTTGCTTGAAAGAGTAAAGCTTAGGTTGTGGCTAGTAAATGACTATATTTCCTCTATATCACTTCATCTTGTTGTGGAGTATTAACACAAAATGACTTATGGATAATTCTTTCTTTTTGGAAATAGGTAGATAAACTCTAGTTGAAATACTCTCTTGTATTATCTGACCTAAATCTCTTGATTTTCACTCTAAATTGATTCTAGATCATGCTTTGGAAGCTTAAAAACACACTATTCACATCTGATTTGGATTTAGGCAAAAGTATCCAAGAGACCCTAGTACAATCATCTACAAAAAAAATAAATCACCTTGCACCAGAAATATTAAAAATTGTAGAGGGACCCCATATATCACTATGAATCAAGTAAAAAAGAGTATAATTTCTTTTATTGCTAACTGGAAAAGACACATCTATGCTTTGCAAGTTCACAAACATCACAATAAAAATTTTCGATATTTAATCATTTGAACAAAGATGAAAACACGTTTTTCAAAGTTTCAAAAGAAGGATGTCCAAGATGAAAATGTTAAAGCTAGATTTTGTCTTTATTGGGAGATTTTTCAGAAAGAAATGACAAAAGGTAAACTATTCTTGATTTTACTTTTATTGTTTAATGTCTCAAGATAGTATAGTCCATCCTTCTCCTTAGCAAGTCTAATTTTTTTCTCCGAACTCTAGTCCTGAAATTCACAATAAAAGGGATAAAAAGTCACTTTGCAGTTCATGTCTCTGATAAGTTTTTATATATATATATCAAATTAGTAGACAATCTAGGAACATGAGGAACATTTTTAAGAACAAAAGAGGGATGAATTTGAACATCTCCTAATCTTGCCACTGTAGTGAGTGAACCATCTGCAACAACAATTTTCTTATTACCAAGACACAGTATATGTACAAAACTTTTGTAAGGAATGTATCATATGATATATGGGTCTTGAGTCAATGATCTAAGAACTCGTAATCGGCTTAATCAAGAGATTTAATCCATGAGAAGCATAAACTTTTTTAGAACTAGAGACCTTACCCAAAAAAATACCCCAATAGGCTTTTCGAGAGTTTTCAATAGGCTTCTTAGTTTCTCAATCTCTTCTCTATCCAACTCTTTTTGTTCCCAAGACTTTTGTGGTACTTCGGTGATTCTACTGGTTGTCACTTCCTCAAATGGGGTAGGAGTGGCAGATTTTGCTATCTCTGGTATGGTTATTTCAGAACTAAAACGAGTCTTGATAGTAAAAGTTTAACTAGAGACGATCCTAGGCAATGAAGGCCAAAGAAGGAAAAATAAAATTGAAAGATTTAACAAGATTTGGCTATGAAGGCTTAAAATAGAATTCAACAATGTAAGGCTGAAAAAATTTTCTTCCCAAGAAGAGCCTAAAGCTCTTATACCATGTGAAAAAACTAAGAAATAAAACTGTGAAAAACTAAAAGCAAAACTGAATGTATATTGAAAAACTACTTATAAAGAATTATACAAGCACCTTAGCTTTATATACAATTAACTAGTGGGTAAACTAGAAAATTAAATTTTTCTAAAATTGATCCTATAATTGAAGGATTGTCTATCATAATTTGTCCTTAATTCTAGAGATACAAATACTTAATTGTAGAGAGATAAATATAAATATATAGATTACAAGAAAACAATCAGCTATAAATAAGTATTTTCCTTAAGTTACATTGAGTAAAACCTATTAAAATAGATCATTTTCAAAATTTTAAATACAGTTAAAAATGAAATTAAAAATTTAGAATTGTGACTTTATTTTGGTCGGGAACGCAAGTAGGTTTATACTTCTATGATAATTTTATAGATTTGTTCATGGGCCTAAGTAGGTTCATACTTTAATACATTAAGTTGTGCTATTATTAAGCAATCAGATCTGACATACCACCTGGAAAGTTGATTAGCCAATACTGTGATGAACTGAATGCAATATCTCACGAAACATGAAAGAATTTTGGTATTTCTTGTGCTGCCTATATTTTAGGGATGCTAGTACGGTAAATTTCTCACTTTATAAACTGACTTCAAATTGTTATGTTTCAGGAAGTGAATGGAGTTAGCAGCCCCAACAATAATCAAAGGGCATACCTAGAGGAATTGTCACTCCTTTCCTATCAGCCTGCATCAGTTTCAGAAATTCTGGCCATTCTTTCTATTATTCCCGAGGTTAGCGTTAAGAGCCGACATGTTTTGTAAGAACTATCCTTACACCAATTAAGTCATTGTTTTCTTTTCTTTAAAACTCTCAACCACTAGTAGCTTGAAAACCATAAGAATCTGCCGCATTAAACTGCATGCTTTCAACCCAAATTTCCAAACAGTAATCATTTTCCTTGGTTGCTGTTCATAGCCATTGTTCACCTCCTTTAAACCATTACCTGCTGTTTGATATCATGCATTTCTACTATAATGATTTTGCTTTTTCTTTGCAATACCTTATTTAGTTTGCTGCTTATGAATTTACTGGAATTAGCTTTCTTATTATGATAAAATGATTTACAACAACAGAACTCTTTAAGTAGATCCAAACAGCCTTGAACTGTAGGAATTATATTTATTTACTTGAGCGTCTTTGCTGCATCTTTTGTTTGCATGGAAATTGTGCACCCTATTTAGCTGTTACTCTAAACACTTGTGGCAGCTGCCGCCAGAATTGCAGCAGCAGTTGCTTCGCTTACCATCTGATCTGGCTGGAAGGTTGATTTCCCGTGCTTCAGCTAGGACTATCCGGAGGATCATTTTATGATGCCAAGGTGGGTTTCAGAACAAGCACAAGTGACATACAAATTATCAATTCACCGGATGGAAACTTCAATCGCTTAAGTGGGTTTTTGAAGCAAGATTTACTTACAAATATCAATTCTCCTCTAAAAATTGTTATTCAGAATGGCAGAATTCAGCTGGAATAACGTATATATTCCTTTTATTTAATATATCTCTTCCCAATAGACAATTTTTCCCTCACGATCTCAAATTTTCAAAGTTCAAGCTGATTACAAAGCCCAGCATAGCATCACAGGAGAAATGTATCAGCCTCAAGGTTTTCATGTAAAGACCTGATCTGAAAACAATATATCAATGTACATTTGAACAACGAAAAATTTTGTAAATTACCGGCATTCCAACTACAATTAGTCCTACTTTTGATTTTTGAAAGTTAATGGTATAGTGTTCTTTTTATGTTAACAATGTCAGTATGTCAGTACTCAATGGAAAATTTTAAAAACCCATTTTAAATGGAGGGTGAAATTAATTCCAGTAATGGATTCAAACTTTATTCAGGTGTTATTCAAATGCACTCACGGTGCAGTTGATCCCAACAAGGCAAATGGAGCCCAAGTCTCCTTACTGCAGTAAGCTGATGGTATCTCTTTCGGCAGTTTTTCTTCATATTTAGACGCGTGTAAATGCCACAGTGGAAGCCATAATGTAATAGAGGTGTAAAATGTTAAGGGTTAAATATAAAAATAACTCTTCTACTATATATTTTATTATATATATTTTTTATCAATTTGATATTTAAAAAAATAAAATTATCATTTTGATATTCAAACTTTTTTTTATCAAGCATTTTAGTCTCCAATTTGATAATGTTAATTAATTTTCTTGCTTACGTGACTTTCATATTCAATAAAATCATTATATAATCATAAATATCTAATTATCACAACATCATCTATCTTTTATATTAGTACTTAATAGAAAATTCAACTTTTTTAAAAGTATATTTTTTTAATTCAAAATTATAAAAAGAAAAAAAGAAAAGAAATCAAAGAGAAATAAATAAAATTTTTTGAAATGATAATAACTAAACATTTATGACACATAATATAATTTTATTCGATATTTATATTACGTCAATTAAAGTAATATTAAAATATTAAAATATTTGACAGTAAAAAATTAGAGTATCAAAATGAAAATTTTATATTTTATATCAAATTGAAAAAAATGTATAAATCAATATTCATTTTACATATTAACCCTATTTTTAAAATCATGAAAATTTCTTGTTTTAAGCTTTTCATTGTCATTTTTTTTATTTTAAGTTGGTAAGATTGTTACAGTCGTCCTGGGTCTAGATCCAATCTGCGCTCCCTTAGTTGTCTTTTCTTCTGCTTCAACTGGCTAAAAGGATTTCTTCCATTGATTTTTTGTAATCTACTTTTTTTTTCTATTGGAATGTACGAGGAGCTCAATAACATTGGATTTTTTGGGTTAAATTGTACAATTAATCACTATATAAATCAAGTCCATTTATTTTTATAATGGTTAACTTCAATCCCATCATTAACAGAATTAATTTTGATCAAAAGTTTAATTATATAGTAATTGAATTGGAAATAACAATTCATAAAAGTAAACGAACTGGATTTATACAAATTCATAAAATATATTTGAGATTACTATGATAACACTAAATCATGCCCAGGCCAACTGGTGTATTATTCACTAGGCTCAACTTAAATTACCAACTATGAAAAGATATATTGCCCTAAAAAAAGGCAAAGACCCTATGATATAAGTTACTTCCAATACATACCATCTTTTATCACAAAAATCTACTTCAAATCCACGGCCAGTAACAAGTAGAACCTTAATCTTTTTCATTTTTTCCTTTCACTGATTCTTTCACGTATTCTCATAAACAAGCTTATAAATTTTTTACATTGATGGTACATGCAAAAATAATAATATGATTTTACAAGCATTGAGAATTTGAATGCATTAACAGCAGCCAAGTAAAAAAAAAAAATGGATGGAAGACAACACTGTCAACAATAGCTGCATTGGAAGTCTGCCCGCTATGATGGCTGCATCTGATCTTGCCGAAGTGCCTGTTGGAGTTGAATGACCTGTTGGCGTTGCTCAGGTGGCAATGAACTCAGCTGCTCCGGTGTTAGGCTCAGCACTTGCTGCAGTAGGACAGACTCCACATCAGGTGTGAGCTGTGGCTGACAAAGAGAAACAATGGAGTGAATCATTCGAAACCACAATATTACTGTTTGGTTCAACACGAGTTATGCGATTATTACCAAATCAACCATACTGAACTATGAATTGCACAAAGTCATTCAAAATTTCTAAAACAAACTCCCAAGTATTTCTCCTAACAGTACAGAAAACATTTCCTTCACGTTGCCAAACAGTTGTGGTCAAAGATATGATGACACGATCGGGACAGAGAACTGGCTGACCTAATCATATATACCATAGGTTTGTCAAGCAATTAAGCACACATGTAGCAATTTATCACCATAGAAAGTAATTTCAAGAAAGCATTATTTGAACCACACTACTAGGATCAGTACTTTCTTAATGAACTAAGAATCAATCCTTTAACTTATATAGAATTTACATCAAAGCTTCAAATTTTCTGAGCAGAAATGAGACAATACAAAATTATCAAACCAAAAACTCTAATCACCCTGCACCTTAAAAAGGCGTTTTGGTTGCAGAATCTTGAATTCCAGGAAAAAGTATGATATTCGGAAAAGTATGATACCCGAAGTTTTCTTTTATTTTCAAAGCATCCCATATTCAGATTCACTTGTTTGGTTGAAAAAAATCCACGTATATTAATTCTAATATAATTATCATAATCGTCTTGATATATATGATAGCAACTTTTCATTTTGTTTTATTAATAATAAATACCTAAAAAACAAATGATTCTTTTTAGTAGAAAAAAAACAAATATTTTAATTGATTGTTGTTTTATTTTATAAAATATAAATTAATGCGTTTGTAAACATGAATGCCTTAATTGATACGGTAAATTTTATTTTTAAAAAAAGGACCAATTAAGGCATTTGGTACTTTGAACAACAATGTATACAAGCTTAAAATAAAATTCAACACAGAATGAAATTGTCTACTAATCATCTCTTCATATCGAGCTACTTGACGTTTCATAACCCTATGTTTTGTATGATGGACTATGATGTGAAGAAAACTAATAACTAATCTTTTTATTGATATATGTCTAAATGACTATAATTCCCTTTCTATTTCAAGCAAATGATATAATTTTGCAAAAACTCTCCATCCACTCTAGTATGACCTACACACTATCTATCACTTTCAAAGACCACTGCATTTAAGTTTAACTCTCTAATATTTAGCTTATCATAAGATGTTCCACCATAAGATAGTATACATCGTTTTCTAATGTTTATATATAATAAATTTACAGCAACAAAACAGAACACATACAACAAAATCTCCATCTAATTCAAATGTATCATAAGTAATGTAACCAATTGCATTTTCGTTCTCAGTGATAAACCAACCATAATTATTTAGAAGATAGAATCTCGTTAAAGTTAAAAACATAAATGGAAAGCAAATCTATGCATATTGTCCATGGAATCTATCAATATCATAAAAAAACCATATATAAATCAACAACAAAACATTTTTGAAGGAGCTAAAACAAATAAACTACAAAACAAGTTTGATATATCAAAAACAGAAATCCAAATCCAAAAATCTAAATATGAAAAAATATATATATAATGGAATGCAACAAATAATGCAGATAAGATAAATAGGTATCAGAAAGTATACACACCGTTTTTGTAAAAAATGAAGATAAACTTAACAGGATGAAAACTGAATGATGGATGTTGAAGCTGAAGTTGGCTCAAAGAAAAAAGTATATGCTTTGAGCTAAGATATATTTAAATAAAAATTAGAAACATATTGATTATTGAAACACGATGAAGACATCAAGCCTTGACGTTTCACACCTTATTTGATGTATAAAATATATGTTCTTATACTTCATGATTAGACATTACAACGTTTATATTGTTAAAACACAATCTTTAAGAGAAAATACAAAATTTTAATATACGACAATTAAGGCCTTTGTAAGAATAAACGTCTTAATTAATTATCAAGTAAGGTGTTTTTCCATTAAAACACCTTAATTAATAGTCACTTTAATCTTTATCAAACTGTAACTAAAAATCATTCATGTTATAACACGATTTTCGAGACAAAAATTTTAATAAATTATCAATTAAGGCGTTTCTTCCTTGAAATGCCTTAATTGCAACATAAATAAAAAAAATATATTATATTTTTTATAAAAAAAAAAATCTACAACTAAGTGCCAGTCACTTCCAAATTTGCTTTTCAAAAAGTAATGGCTATGTGTTCAATTTTTTATTCAGATCAAATTTGAAAATAAAGCAGGTTTCCTCCCCGAAATCCTAGAATACCACAGGGAAAGGTAAGTGTTTTATTCTGAGACTTTGGATACTATTGAGAATCTGACATTCTCCCCCGTAATCAGATTAGTCTGAACCAAATGTGAAAAATAAATACCCACCATTACAATTTCGGAGGAAAATTTGTAGATTCTCCCGAACCAAATGCACTCTAAGAGGGAATTTAAGCCAAGAAAAAAAGATCAAAATTATAATTTTGATTGTTCAACTTTGACATAGATACTCAACTATCATAGTGATAGATTAGCGCCACCATTTTAGGAATTTTTCAAGTTCTAAAAGACTAACTACCAATTTTTGACCTCCCAAATAACTCAACCAAAGTTCACCTGAAAGAGTCAACCATAACAATCTTGTCTACAATATTGAAACTATTAGCATATATCTGTGATCCGTCATTTATGTGCACTACCAAATAGATACACCTAAAAGTGAAAATTTATTGGAAAACCCGTCTTAATCCAACCATTGCTCTCCCAATCCAACAATTGCTCTCCCAACCTCCCATAGAAAAAAGAGTAAAAATGTTAACTAGTGCGTGTCGTCATGAATATCTGATATGAACATAGAAGATAGTATACATCGTTTTCTAACGTTCATATGTAATAAAGTTACAGCAACAAAACATAACACTTGCAACAAAATCTCCATCTAGTTTAAATGTATCATATGCATTGTAACCAGTTGCATTTTCATTCTTAGAGATAAACCAACCATAACTGTTTGTTTAAAAACAAGGATCAATCAAAACGTTTGGTACTTTGAACAACAGCATATACAGTCTTAAAACAGAATTCAACATAGAATGGAATTGTCTACTAATCATTTCTCCAAATCAAGCTACTTGATATTTCATAACCCTATTTTTTGTATGATGAGCTTCGATGTGGAGGAAGCTAATAACTAGTTCTTTTATTGACGTACTTTTAGATGATTGTAATCCCCCTTCTGTTTTAAGCAAATGACATAATTTTGCAAAAACTTTCCACCCATTCTAGTATTATCTACATATTGTCTATCGCTCTCAAAAACCATTACATTTAAGTTTAACTCTCTAATATATAACCTATCATAAGATGTTCCACCATGAAATAGTTTACATCGTTTTCTAACGTTCATATATAATAAAATTATAGTAAAAAAAAACATAACACATGCAACAAAGTCTCCATTTAATTCAAATGTATCATAAGCAATGTAACCAATTGCATCTTCGTTCTTAGTGATAAACCAACCATAACCGTTTAAAAAATAGAATCTCATTAAAGTTAAAAACATAAATGGAAAGCAAATATTTGCATATGGTACATGGAATCTATCAAATATCATATAAAAATATAAATCAGCAACAAAACATTTTTGGATGAAGGAACTAAAACAAATAAACCACAAAACAAGTTTGATATATCGGAAACAGAAATCTAGATCTAAATGATATCTAAAAATATGAAAAAAAATTGGAATACAACAAATAACGCAGATCAGATAAATAGATATCAAAAAATATGCACACCGTTTTTTGTAAAAAATGAAGATAAACTTAATAGGACAAAAATTAAATGACAAATGTTGAAACTGAGTTGGTTCAAAGAGAAGTATTTGCTTTGAGTTGAGATATGTTGAAATAAAAATAAAAACTGTGTTGGTTATTGAAACATGATGAAGACATCAAGCCTTGACATTTCATATATAAAAACGCCTTATTTGATGTATAAAGTATAGGTTCTTCTACTTCATGATTAGACATTACAACGTTCATATTGTCAGAACACGGTTTTCAAGAGAAAAAAACAAAATTTTTTATATGCGACAATTAAAGCGTTTGTAGGAAGAAATGCCTTATTTGTAACCAATTAAGGTGTTTTTCCATTAAAACGCCTTAATTGATTGCCACTTCAATCTTTATCAAACTGTAACTGAAAATCATTCATGTCATAATACGATTTTCGAGACAAAAAAATTTTAATAAATTATCAATTAAGGCATTTCTTCCTTGAAATGCCTTAATTGCAACATAAATAAAAAAAATTATATTGTTTATAAAAAAAATCTACAACTGAGTGCCAATCACTTCCAAACTTGCTTTTCAAAAGGGTAATGGCTATGTGATCAATTTTTTATTCAGGTCAAATTTGAAAATAAGAAAACTTTTCTCCCCGGAATCCTAGAATACCACAGGGAGAGGTGGGTTTTTTATTTTGAGACTTTGGGTACTGTTGGAAATTTGACATTTTCCCTCGAAATCGGATTACCCTGAACCAAACATGAGAAACAAATACCCACCATCAAGATTTTTGAGGAATATTTGTGGATTCCTCCGAACCAAATGCACTCTAACGGTGGGGAGGGAATCTAAGACAAGAAAATAAGATCAAAATTATAATTCTGATTGTTCAACTTTGACATAGATACTCAACTATCATATTGATAGACTAGCGCCACCATTTTAGGAATTTTTCAAGTTCTAAAAGCCTGACTACTAATTTTTGACCACCCAAATAACTCAATCAAAGTTCACCTAACAGAGCCAACCATAGCAATCTTGTTTACAATATTGAAACTATTAGCATATATCTGTGATCAGCCATTTATGTGCACTACCATATGGATACACCTGACAGTGAAAACTTATTGGAAAACCCTGTCTTAGTCCAACCATTGCTCTCCCAACCTCCCACAGAAAAGAGAGTAGAGATGTTAACTAGTGCATGTCCTCATGAATATCTGATATGAACATATAAACTTACTCTTGAAGAAGACTGCAACCATTTACAAAGTCCCCAACAGACCATACTGTAACCTTCAAATGTATTTGAGGCAACAGATATGGAAAGAAATCCTTAGTCTCTCTTATTTGGTCAATAGAGAAAATAAGAGAAGACACAAGAAAGTATCCCTCTGACATTTTTTCTTAGCCTATTTCTAGATCTCTCCAAAAATATAGAGTTTTACAGTTAAATGAAACTGACAATAAAATTTACATTTGAAAACCAGAGAAAACAGACTAGACTAGATGGTCTTAAAGAGACAGTAGGTACTTCAAAAACTCTACATTTGATAACAAGTTGAACTAGTATATGCTTCACTTTCCCATCCGTTAGACACAACTAAAACAGCATAGATTCAAGTCTATGGAACAATGAGATCACTGAAAATAGTTTAACATAGGACCACATCTAAATTATAACCCTAAACATTTTCATGCATATCATAAGCAAGAGGATATTCACTTCTTAATCAAGATGTCTGCGATATGCAATTTTTTATTCACCACTTCATTTTTATAATTCTGCAAATTGTCAAAATGATTAAATAGACATCAAGAAGGCAATAAAGACATCTAGCTCTAACAACGAACAAAATAAAAAAAAAAGGTATCATTTAAGGAACTATATTTCTTTTGCAATAAAACCTATGTAATCCCTGCATTGAAACTCTGAGATGACCCTCTGCCATTTGAGGCTGAAGCAATGATGCATGAAAAAATGAACTTAAAATAAAGTATATACGGTTTAACTTTTGATATCACTGATTTATAATACATTACCTGAGAAATCTGCTTTTCGGCATATTGCACCTCTTCTGCTCTCGATACTTGACTGACAAGCGTTGAATCAATGGCAAATGTTTGCGATATTCTGGATCCACTTACATTAGACATATTCAAACCCCCTACAGAGGAAGAACTACTCCTTCCATCATCTAATTTCAACATTTTCGAAGGTCGGATTATTGCTTCTGAAGGACAGCAAACCAGGTTTGATTTCTCTACAAAGCCTGGTGTTGAGGAACCTGGCTGTTATTTAAAAAAAAAAAAAAGTTCATACAAGATGTTAGGATATTAAAAGCAATAGAAACCAGCATTGTAGTAATTTCAAAAAGGTACAATCTAGTTCCTATATATGCAAGAAGACCACAAGAGAGGACAGGTGATTGTTTGAGGAAAGGGAGGGGAAAGGATTCATCACTATGTTCAACAGATAGGAAAGATAAAATATGTTGTTCAATGGAGACCACTCACTATCTTTTCAGTTATTTTGTTTGTGCGCGCGTGCGTGAGAGAGACAGGACAGACAGAGACAGAGTTTCTTAATGCCCAACTAGAATTTAGCATCTCTCAGTTGGATTTGACTAATTGAATGTCACAATAGAACTAACTAATTCCTATTAAATATTCAAAACACGCTACCCTAAAAAATAAGAGATCTTATGAATCATGGGACTGAAAATTCTTAAAATTTCAAATCCAATAACTAGATGATTTCTGTCAAGAAAACATAGCCTATATATGAAATAACAAGGCATAACTCAATCTAAAGATGCGTACTGGTAATTAACATAAACCATTACTAAAACTTCTCTAGTGGTATGTACTAGCTCAAGTTGGTGAAAGAAGCATTTGCACCTGGAAGCCAGCATCTGATAAGGAAGGATGAGGTAAAGCAGCTGACGGCATGACTGCATTTGGCAGAATCATCCGAGTGCTGTGACTTAAATTAGCAGTTGCAAGCTGTCCTGAGTGTGGCAATGATGGCTGCATTTGCTGGTTCAAAGAAGAGGAATTTGCCACCTGAATTTGTGGTCTAATAGAGGGGTTTGCGGAATGAAGTTTGGGAACTACAGAATGTGCAGCAGCTGGTGGTAGAACATGATTGCTGGAATGTTGTGGAAGCTGTGACGGAGGCTGCAGAGTTGATTGCAGGGTTGCAGAAAATTGGTTGTGAGCTAAAGACTTAAGAGGCACAGCAGATATTTGACCTTCTTGTACTTTAGGGATCAAGCCTGTCTGAACCTTCTGAGGAAGAGTTTGTGCTGTCAGCTGCTGACTATACTGGCCATCTTGAAATGGAATCTGTGTGGGTTGACCAGGAGGCTGCCGAATGTTTGGCATTTGCAACTGCAAAATTAAATGGAAAAAAATAGTAGTCTTTATGTGACACAATGTCAAAGCACTCAACAACCAACAAAATATTTTTGAGACAATGAAACAAACCACTTGTGGGGGGACCATTCCTAGCATTATTTGTGCCTGAAAAGCAAAGGCAAAGATGTAAAACTGAATCTTTATTATAAATAAAAGTGGCTTAAAGTGTGTAAAACTTCTGTAAGGACAAAAAATACCATTTTATTTTGATTTAACTTTCTAGCATATGGCATTTTAATGTTATAAAAATAGTTTTTAACTTTTAAATTAATACAGTAGTCCTTATTCTGCTGCAACACTAAAAAGAAATAAAGGACAGTTTGCAAAAACAACTAACTAAAATTGCACAAGTGTACATGTCTGAAAAGTAGTTGTAATAAATATATGATGGTTTGAATGAAATGGTAGAAATAAGTAAAACATCCCTGAAAAACACATTATATGCATACACTTATAAGGGTAAATCAGGTTTTTTTTATAAAAATAAAAGGTCCAGTTCAAGAATGAGGAGAAGCTCTCATCTCTTCATGGAATTTTTAAGCTTGAAAATCAAACATACCAAAAAAAAATTTATTTCCACTTGACAAGGGAGATAAATCAGAGGATTGTCCGCATAATAAAAGAAATAGAGGTGGCGCTTCATGTTATGGAAATTGTACGTTCCATGTGGGGTTACAAAGGACCTCAGTCCTGGGCACTGGTAATAGGATTTTGTGTAGATGAAAAAAATAAAAACCTAAAAGAGATAAAAGGGTCATTGATTGTAATTATCCATAGAGAGGTCCAAAGAAGGTCCCTATGGAGACATCATTAACAATCATGACAATCTTTACAAAAAGCAAGAAGAGAAGGCAATTGGGATTTTCCAGCTATCCAAAGCAGAAGAATGTTGATTTTCAGTGGAATGAGAAGTTTCTTTATAACTTTTTTTATTATTCTCAGGACAGAGAGATAAATGGCCAAATTTTGACCACCAACTTGCTAACCCTCGCAAATTTGCTTTAAGCCTCTGTATCTCTATTGTGAAGAAGAACTAATCAACTGGATATACTGAACGCTAGTATTGCTGTTAAAGGTATTTCCATTATCAGTCAGTTATAGAAACAATTTCTCTTAACATATAAAACCCGCAACTCTTTTTCTCAGACAGAGAGAACAAGCATTGTTGAAATTCCTTCCTAGATATAACATTAATGATGAAGTTGAGGCATTATAGCTATGATGAATACAAGTCTAAACTTCTAAAAGTAACCCCATCCAGTGCTTTCTTCATGCAGCTTATAAACATAAAAGGGCTTGATTTTATGGCAATGAATTCATTCCTTCTTGGAATTTATATTTTAAATTAAGGGAATATGGATGAAAGGTTATGAGATGCAAATTAGGATATCTACAATAAATATTATCTCCTCAAATTTTCTTTTAACACCAAGCAATTAAAAAATACCTGAAAAATAGCTTTCAGCAACTGAGGTTTTGTAAGCAATAGCTCACGAGCTAGTTCCTTATTTTGTGTAACCATTTTCTGTTGAGAAATGACATTAAAAAAATACCATTAATTACAGAAATGGAGCAAATCTCTGTAAACAGTATGTATTGGTCAAAAAAGTACCTTCAGCTCAGACATAATTTCATTCAGCTGGCTCCGAGACATTTTGGCAAGATGGAGTGTCAAAGGGTCACTGGCCGGTACTGGCTGACTCGGTAAAGCATTTTGATTAGGCTGCAGACCAGCCTGCACACCACCAAGAGCTCCAGCCATGAGAGCTGCAGCAGTTATAGCTAAATGGAGACCAATAGGCTGTTGGTGAACAGATTCCCCAAGGACTGCCGGGCCTCCTACTTGTTTTTGAGGGTCCGTGAAGTGTCAGTTAAGGGGAAAAATTAGATTGTATTCCCGCAAAAGAATATAATTCCAAAGAAACATAAATACTAACCAACATTTGTTGTCAGTCCAGGTCCACCACGACCCTACAACAAAACAAAATTCACTTATTTAAGCTTATAAGTAAAAACTAATTTTGAAAAATCAGAAAATCAAGATCAAATATACAAGGAACAAAACCATTATACTGCAGAAGAAGTACCAAGCTGAGCAGTAGGATAATGCATGTATTTGTGCTATTGTTGCAATGAAATAAGCCTCAGGAACCACCCAGGTTACAAAATCGAGAGTCAGATTTTTTGTGAGCATGAAGCATGACAGTAGGCTTATCCTCCAACAGAATGGTTCAAGCCAAATGATAAAGTTTCAAAGTTTCACTAGACTAGGCAGTCACTATAACATTTAGCAAACATATCCATTGATGTACATCTCAAATATACATGTACATGAACATAAACATAAATAACTCTATCAAAATTTTCATTTTCCTCTAATTTATCCATTAACAGTCTAAAATGAGAGCCCTTACTAGATATAACGATTATTATCTCTTTCTTTCAGAAAGGATATTGATGTGGGGGCACTAACTCAAGTTCATTGTAGTTTTTTGGCTTTTCTATCACTTCTTTGAGAAGGGATAGTGATGGGGACGTTGTATCAAGTTTGTTGTAGTTTTCCAATTTCTAAAAAGTGCAATTGTTGATAGAATGTTTAAGAATTGGAATATATTCTCTATTAAAATAATAATCACACAGGAATTTAAATATTCAAAACCTTATAATTGTAACATGAACTGTATCAAATAATAGACACACAAGACCAGGCATCCTTTTATATAATCCAACAGATTAAAGTAACTTCCATGCATTAGAGGCTAGGGGTTAGCATCAAAATTTGCATGGATAATCCAGAAGCACCAATTTCAGATATATAGATATCACATAGGAAACATAATCAGCAAAGGTAATTGAAATTACTGGATGAAATATGGATATAAGTGGTTTGGGTAGGAAGGAATTGGGTATTTATAGGCTTAAATTAAACCAATCAAAAATAAAATACTAAATTGCTATCTATACTGCCTTATGTCATTAGAAACCAAAGTCCACCTAATCACACTAGGAACAATAGCAGTGAAAGAAAGGAACCTACAATGGTGCCAAATTTATGATTCTGACAAAAAAATAAAAAATGCAGAAAAAAAGGCTCTAGGGCCCATTCACCTGTTCTCGATTTCGATCAGAGCCTTTGTCATTTTCAGCAAAATCAACTCGTAATTGCCGGCCATTGATCTCATAACCTTGAAGATTCCGTCGAGCACTTAGAGCTGTCTCCTCATCCTTGTATTCACAGAACCCATAACCTTTTGGTTTGCCAGTCTCTCTATCAATAACCAGTCTGAAATGAAGGATGAAAATTAAATAGAGACAGTAGAACAGAAAATTTTCTTTGATACTGGATTGCAAATACTTATCCACATATATTTCGCCAGAGAAATCTTAGAGTTTTTTTTTTTTTTTGGTCTTTTCTTTTTAACAGTAAGGATAAATGTAACATGCAGAAATCAATTGATGCCTCACAAACAAGCAAAATTGAAAATATTTGCAATAATTTTGTCATGGAAGGCTTAAGGCAAGTCCTTCAATCTTAAAATAAAAATGAGGTGAACTCAGGATAAAAATTCAAATTAGTTAGTTCAGAACATCTCAATCAAACTGATTTGAACTCTTAACTTCTAAACTTTCATGCCCTTAACTTTATCTCCGTCAAAATGTGGTTAATACACTATCATAAGCCTGTTCCATTTCTCATAATCCTCTTTTATTTTCATTGACCTAGGTGTTCAAGGCTATCAACAATCATAAAGATAACTTTCCTAACCTTAACATGTAGTCTGGACCAGCAAATAATCCAACAGTTAAGAAGCAGATTGATCTGAAGGAAAAATTCAGGTCAAGTTATCTTCCTCAATTTCTAATTCAAAGCTTCTACATTGCAATCTTAACAATTCTCAAGTCAGGTTAATAAAAAAAATTTCTTAATGGAGATATTTCCTAGTTCATGAACCCAAATTACTCTACAAAGTGTGTCTGTACATAACTATCTGCATTTGAATGTTTACTGAATGAGTGTGTTAGCTTTATTCCATGTTCCTCAATAACTTGAATCCTGTGTTACCTGGAACATGGATCAGTTTGGTTCGTGGAAAGGGAACCAGAACGCAGATCGCTACTTACCTGAAACATGGTTTGATAGGGGTGGTCTTCTTTAGTTCATTTATAAGAATGAAATATAACCAAGTAAAAAATGAATTTTTTTTAATATATATGCATATTTTTTATGTATATAATATATAAAATTCAATTTAATTAAAATTTTGGGTAAATTCCACACAGGTCCTTCAGTTTTAAGCATAATTCAACATAAATCCATTAGTTTGAAAAATGAACAACCCATCCCAAACTTTTCAATTTCATAGGATAAGCAGATCCTTTTGTTAGTAATCCGTTGGTTATTCCGTTAAAAAACCCATTTAAAGACACCATTTTACCCCTAAAAAGTCAATATTATCAAATACTCACTTGAAATTATATTTTATAATAATAAATTGTTTTTATTTTTTCTCAAAATATATCAAAAGTATTATTAATAGAAAAAAGATTTTTTAGATGTAATATATAAAAAAAAATTTACAATTATAAGTATGCCAATATGTAAATATATGTATAAAAAAATCATTAAATTAAGCATGTAATAATATTTTGGCACGTAAAAATTTAAAAAAGAAACATGAAGGATATAATATGAAAAAGTTGGTTAAAAAAGATCACGATTGGATATTTATCAATTCGGTTTTAGTTATTACAATGCTCATATATATTTTAAACTTAAATCTACATGTTTGTTAAAATATAGTGATGACAAACTTATTAATTTTAAATTGAAAATCATTTATAATAAGTAAACCCAAATTAAAGAGTTAACTAGAAATTTTTTTTGTTACTATATATTCAATAGATATATAGAATAAATTTTCTCAAAAGAAAATATAGAATAAAGAATAATATATATAAATACAATAAATTTAGGTTTAAAGGATAGTTTTGTAATTGCTTAAATTATGTTGACAGAGTTAAGAAGTTTGGGGTGGGTTATCCATCTTTCAAACTAATGGACTTATGCAGAATTATGCTCAAAACTAAAGGACCTAGATGAAATTTATCCTACAATTTTTTAATTCAATATAAGTGTTAATAAAAATAATTCACTTTCATAACTTCAATTCTAAAGGATTGTCCCATAACGATACATATTAGAGCTAAAGACTAGAAGAGAGTGTGTGTGAGTTTGCTAGGTTTTTTTACTTTATTTTCATTTAATTTGTAATTAAATTAATTTCAGTTTTAAATGTTCCTTCAAAGTCCAAACATCAATTAAGAGATAGAGTTTTTTGAGAATATAAACTGCTATTAGGTATGGCTACATGCCACCCGCCACCCTCTATCATTAAACTTTTTAATTGACTCTTAAGAAAAATTTTAAAAAAGCCCTGATTGCATGAAAGTAGAAAAGGATTGCAAGATTATCCGAATTGAATTGCTATCGATCCATGATTGGGATCACATGACCCAATTTGGATATCATAGCATGGTTAGCAAATCACGGCAACATAGCTTGAATCCCAATGTATGTGTAAAGGTCAATAAAGAATGATATCCTCGTAATTTCATAACCATTATACTATTCCCAACCATCAAATATACAACTAAAGCAGTGAAAACATTTATGCAACTCAGTTTGCTTGAAAAGCTTTGAATTCTGTACCAATTATTTTCTGGCATAGTTACAAACATTAAAAGGTATAAACTTCAATGTCAAATTGAAGCTGAATCATTTTAAGAAAATTGAATTTCAAATCTCGAGACTTAAAATTGAGAGTTGGAATTTTCAAAAAGAAAAATCCAAACCTGAAAGAAACGACAGGGCCAACCTCCCTGCAGATTTCTATAAGCTGTTCCTCAGTAGCATCATATGGTATATTCCCCACTGCCAACAACAAAAACAAAATAAATACCAAAATTCATTGACTTTATTAATCCAAACAGCAAAAAGAAGGTAAAATTTTCTTTGAAATACTACCAATTAACCAACTAATAAATGAAAACAAAAGTTCAAATCTTGTGAATAATATTTACTAATCCACAAATATTTCTTCAGAAATTAAACACAATTTAAAAAATCTGAAGCAAATCAGAGAGAGAGAGACCGAAAACGCAGCGATGCTGAGAAGAGGCCATCAAAAAGAAGAAATCAATAGGAGAAGAAGGTGAAGCGGCGCTGCTGCTTCATCTTCTTCTTCATCCACATCGCTCTTTCTCTTCTTCTTCTTTCAATCCAATTATATAGATATAGAAAACAGCTTCCAAGTATATTTCGAATTCAATGGTTAGAGCGCTAAATTGGTTTTCTCTTCTCTCAGCGTTTCAGTTGCGACGAGAGAGGAACGAAACAAAGATTTGCTTTGCTTTTTATCTCTCTGAAATCTGAATGAGAAAATTTTCTCCCTGTTTTAATAACCATTTCAGTAATTTTTCAACTTTGGGGGTTTTGCCTTATTTATTTTTTTTAAAAGAAAATGCGCTATTTATTCGCTCATTTATTTGTATATTTATTTGTTTGTTATTTATTTTTGTTAAAATAATACTAAGCATTTTAAGCAAAATAAAGTGATTAAAATATAAAAATTATTAAATATATATAAACAATATTGTTTAAAATTTTAATAAAAATCATATATAAATTTGACAAAAAAATATTTTGTATTTGACATGTATACATAAATTATGACACAATAATTTTTATATGTATATATAAAATATAATTCTTTTTAATTATATTTTTTTTATTATTTGTGATATGAGTTATATAGAATAAAAGCAAGATTTTTAATTTTAGAGGAACTTTACATATTATTAAAGGTTAAAATTATTTTATATTAAAATTTTTAAATGTCACAATTAATTCAATAAATTCAAATTAAAATTTTTAATATTAAAAATTGATGCAATAAATACTAATATTTTCAAATAATTTTAAAAAATATTATTCATAAAAAATATTTTTAATTTATATTTATATTTTCATGAAATCACTCTCTTCTTTAAGGTTATCTAACTTTTTTCTTTAGGATTTCACTTGCAAATTTTGTTATATAAAATAAATTAATCAATTATAATTTAAAATTATGTCAAATTTATCTAAATTTTTTGTAGATCCCACACTTATAAATGATAGGCCTTACATAATATTTTATTATTATTGAATAATTGTTTGAACTATCGAAGAATAAAATTTATGAATCATATTATGAAATTTTAAAAGAAAGTAATTGAATGTAGATTGCAATTGATGTCACTATTTCCAAAAATTAATTTGGGTTTATGTTATGACACTCCACAATAGAAATAATTTATCTATTGTAAACATCATATTTTGTCCGAAACTTTAAATCGAATGTTTAGCTTGTTTAGGTTTAAGCTCGTTAGGATCGTTAAGCTATTGAAATATTTATTGGATTTCAAATGAACCCATTCAATGGATATTTAGGCTTTAGGCCCAACAAATAAATTTTGGGCTTCAGGTCAGTGAGTATTTTTATTGGTTTTTCCACTTGGGTTAAGGCTTTAACCCAACATTGTTTTTATTGATAGTTTTTTCTTTAATAAAAATTAAATAAATAAAAAATAAAATAAAATAAAAAACAATTTGATTCTATCAAAGGATTAAGTCTTAAAATTCATGTTGATTAAAAGAGAAATTAAATCCCAAAAATTGTTGATCGAAATCAAAGCAAGATTCTAAAGGTAAGAAAATCAATCCATGAACAGATTTCAATCCACCACATTCAATGAGAAATCTCTAAAATTTTTGTAAAAGAACCCTATATATATTGTGTTCAAACCCATAAAAACACACACAAAAAAAAAATAGAGAAATGGATAAAAAAGATTTTAGTAATTTTAAGGTGTTGAAAGTTTTTTTGGTTTTTGGTATAATTTTGAGATTTTTATTTTCGTAAGCCATTTTTTATTTTTTAAGTTATGGTGAAATTTTAAATTGATTTTAAAGTAGTGTTGAATTTCTGGAATTAGGTGGTCTTTTGGGATTTTTGGAGATTTTTTTTATAGATTTTCTTCTAGGTCCTTTTTTTTGGAAAATCACTTGAATTTTTTGATGAAATTTGTAATTTTTGGTGGCTAGAATCTGGAATTCTAGCCATTTTTTGGGTTTTTCGTTGTTTTCTAAAATTTGGCTTGATTTTTCCAACATGCTTATAGAGAGAGAGGGTGCAATAAGGGTTCTGAAGCAAAAAAAACAAAAATTTAACCTTTTTATACAGGTACTAAAGGCACCGTTTTGAGTTTCGGATCCATTAAAGGTTTGCGTGTTTTCCCATACCCAGATCCCATTTGTTGCATGACCCCGTTGGCAACCCACTTCAGTAGCCATCGGTTGAGCCAAGCCGAGCTTGAGCCATGCCTTCCTAAGCCATCCTCTATCTTAGTAGCTGAGGCCTCATTCCAGTTGAGCCAAGTCACGTCTCACTTTAGTAAATTTTTATTTTTTTTAAATTATGTTATTTATTATTTTCTTAATTATTATTATTAATTTTTAGAAAATAAAAATACTTAAAAAATAATAAATTCACGAGTCCTACCAAACTATTGGAGGATTTTTCATGGATTTAAATTTTTTATAAATTTTATCAAACTATTGAAGAATTTCATAACTCAATTTTTATAAAAAATAAAATAAAATATTTTGTTTTAATCCTTTTAAACTATTGAAGGATTTAAATCTTAAATTAAATTTTACCAAACTATTAGAAGGTTTAATGAATTTTCTAAAAATAAATTTCATACATAATTTTACAATAAAATATCATCAAACTATTGAAAGATCTGCATCAACGTAAATCTTACGAAACTATTAGAAGATTTTACTAATTATTTTTTAAATAAAATATATTGATGAATATGACAACGGAGCCTTTTCAAAATGGGATACTAGTATTTATGAATATACATGTGGTGAGAAAATTATCTTAAATTGCTATCAAATTATTGAAATAATTTTAGGATCAATTTCTAATAATTAAATTATTTGGTAAAATTATAAAAACATCTTAAGGCTTGGATAATTTGAAATCAAATTAGTACCATCTTTTAGATAAATACTGTAAGGGTTTTATAATCTTTTTCACGTGTAATTGTACTATTAAACTTAAAATCTAGTTTCATGGACTAGAATCTATTATTTAAATATACCTAAGTCAAACTTAGGACTTCTTTTTAAATGAAACAAATTCAGTTAGGTAACCAATCACACCTAAATAAAAAAAATTGATGATGACTCTTAAGTGTATATCTAGCAGTAGGTCCATGAATTGTTATGACAGTTTTGTGACTCTGCTAGGGATAAAGAGAGTCAAGCCAATAAATGATTTTTTATTATCCAAGCCTACTTAATAAATTTAAGAAATTTTTTTCATTAATTTTATTTATTTTTTTAATTATACTTGTCATTCACCTGTATAAGCATAATAGGAACTTTACACTTGAGTTCAATCCCTTATAAAAGAGTAAAGTACCTACGCCTTCATGAGATTTCATGTCTCCGTATGGGTAACGAAATACTCCTACTCAAATTGAACCATTACCGTTTATAGCCTATAATGGGTGAGGATTTGGGTTCTTTACTAGTCTGTGATAGACAATGATGTAAGAAATAATTTGAAAACCTTTTAAAAGTGACCCAAGCTACATATAGTTAACCTTATGAGCTTAACCTGTAGATAAAGCCATGTTCTTTTTACCCTTTAGAATTAATCCAAAACTTAGAATCATGTCGTTATTATATTGTATTATGTTTGTTTTTTTAATATGTTTATTTTATTTTATATTAAGATAATTAACCGAATTTTTTTTGTTTGTTTTTCTTTTCTTGTATATTCATAAACATACATACAAATTGCATATCATTCTATCCTAAAGATATTTTCAATAAAAGTATTCATGGAACCCATGGAACATCTAGTTTGCATCTCATCTGTATTCTTTAAGTGTAAGTCACCTAGTGATTTAAAGATAGAGTAAAAAAAAAAAGTAACGAGAGGAAGGAAATTGTTTACAACCGGCTATGTCTCTACCTTGCCTAAAGAAGTCCGATTACTCCTTAAACAAAATGATTTGAAAAACCTATAAGACATATAAAATAACATGATTCTTTCAAGACAACAAGCTTTTTGTGAAAAGTTTAGGCATATTGCACATCTTCTGTCGGTGAAGGTTAAAAATTCACTCATTAAAGTAATGATATGGTTTCGAGACCCCTTTAATCGTTGTTAATGAAGTTGATTTGATGTCGACTGCAGAAAAGTGTTTGATTCTAGTGGGTATGCATCTCTAATATCAAGAAAGAGTTTTATGTGAAGGAGCAAAAGCTAAGATATTACAAAAAGTTGGCCCATATTTTAGGAGTAGAAAAGAAGCTCATAGATTCACATGTTCAAGAAAATAAAGGGCATAAAGGTATTCCATGGAAATTTTTTTAAGATTTCATTGTCAAACATGCCAATGATTACCAAAAAATAAATGTGTTTGCCTTAGCAATATATGGAATGGTGAATTACGATAGAAGTGGTAGATTTGTTTGAGCATATTAAAAGAGGATGCAATCCCTCACCGGTAATATTAGCAGAAACTATCAGGTCATTGAATTATTGTAGATAAAATGACAAAGCACCCTTTCTAGGTTGCACACCATTACTATATCTGTGGATGAATAGCCATTTGAATGCAAAAAGAGTGCCTTTTTCAATCTCTATCTTTGTAATCAAAATATAGTCAAGGAGTTTTGTGAAAATAAATGGCCAGAAGTGAAATCCCAGGAAGAATGAGAGTATTTGTTGTAAAGACTTACAACTTGTCAGGTGAAATGGTTAGTCCCATAGATGAATCGAAAGCCCATGCTGTAACAATGTGAAGATGAAATAGGGATTCCATTTTTAGGTTTATTAGGTTCAACAAGCTATGCACCGTTGATGGTGAAAAAGCAGTATAAAGCTTAATAATTTATTCCCATGACACACAAACTTAACCAATTTAACTGTTTATATAGGAAAGCTTAAGACATTTTAAAAGATTGATAGCATGATCAAAGCCTAGAATAAGCCCAAGAGAATGAGTCCTAGGTCGTTTACTAACAAAGTCATTCATGGATACTTAGTGTGGAAAGCCAAGAGGGGCAAGAAGGTTGTGTTTACTCCTAAAGATTATTGTTAGCCAGTGAACCAGAAGTTGGATGAGATACCCTCAAAGTTAGAATTTGAAGCTAAGAAAGATAGGATGAAGCAAGAGATTCAAAGGCTTCAAAAAGAGAGGGAGCAATGGAAAGACAAAGCAAAAAAGCTAAAAGTGAGTCCATAAGATCTCTAATGAGTGTGATACAATAGTTAATGATTTAGCTAAACTTCATCAATAACACAGGAAGTTGAAAGCTAGGAGTAAAACCTAAAAGGTTGTTAAATAGTGTGACAATGCC